TCCACCCGTCGCAAGCATTGCGCTTGACTGAGGCGCAGTTGTGGTGTAGTCGTCTCTGGCATACACAGCAGGTGTAGGTTTCTGGCCCTGGGTTTGACTCGATGCCAGCCCTGAGCAGAAGAATGCGTAGCAAATGTAGCCCTATGGACGAACAACTTCTGAGATACTTCGCCGACCTAAACGGGGTTAGATCGCCGAAACAACAGGGGTAAAACCCGAGTTATTCCGGTACGTAGAACCAGCTGTCGTGTTAATGCGTAGACTCTTGTCTAGAAGTTGTGTATAAATGTTTTGATTCGGGTCACGCGTTTGGGCACAGCAAACCAAAATCGTTGTACAAATAACTAAACCGTACCCGAAATACAATTTTTCAACTACAGCCATTACCCCTAACCGCTAATGTGACGCAATGTTAAATAGCCCCCGCACACCGCAGAGTTTATCGGCCGCCGATTTAGTTTGGCTTCCTTGTCTTTCCATTGCATTTTCAGGCGCGATTAAGTTGGTGTAGTGTGCGCACCTCCATACATCTTTATGTATTTCAAGCGGGCCCCAACTGAATCGGCGGCCCATAAAGTCTGCAGTACGCAAGGGCTCTATATGTAATGCATATTTTGATACTTAGAAAAGGAAGAGAGTTTAATGAAATGGCATTACTTGTCATATAGCTTGTTTATACCGATACATAAAGCGCTTTGATCCAGTTCGCTGTAATTCGAAACGGATGCATAAACCAAATTTCAATGCGCTCTGAATTTCAAAAGTGTATTGACTCGAATTTGAATTCAAATCGGTTTTTTATTTCTCACATCGGTTAGAAAACAGGTATAAACACATCACTCATTTGACACGAAGTGAAAATAGGCTGGCTTTCTTTATACAGCCCATTTTGAATTTGAATTATTATTTAAATAAATTTGACTTATTCTTCGCTTCCATTTCGGTCAATCGCGCAAATCAATTATTAAAGAGATATCGAAATAAAACAACACATTTTGTATAATTTTGAATACGGTTTCAGCGAGTGCGCTGTAAACGCTTAAAAGAAATATGTGTTGAGTCAAATTGGTTTTTTGTTAATGCGGTTCTTGCATAGGTATAAACAAGGTAATTGATTTTGCATAAATTCTTTTAAATTAAATTGCATAAAAATTATAAATTTTTTTTAGTTATAAATGCTTTCAAAAAAATTACCTTTTTTACAAAATTTCCATGGTTTGTGTACGGCCTTGTGCTGGTGTGTACCTAAAAATAACAAAAATATTCCATTTATTGAAGTCAGTTAAAAAATTGTTCGATCTCGTGTCATGGTGAAATAAATATAAGGTGATGTCACTTACATAACCTCACTTTTTCTGCATGCCAATTGCGGTCATGCATTTGAGGGTAGTAGAAAAAGGGTCAAAAGATTAGGATTAGTTTTACGCTTTTTGGGTACTATTTTCAATACTGATTTTTAATATAGATGTACATATACATGCATCAGTGGACTCCACACCAGTTAAATGAAGCTTGCATTCATAAAATATATTTGCTGTAAACTAGTATAATTAGAGATAAATTTTTTCGCTCAAAAGAAATTCTTATTACTTAATTTTTATTTTTTCGATCACATTTAATGATTATAATTATTATTAAGTCTTATTTTTATACTTAAAAATTATTATTTGTAAAACTTAAAAGGCCACACAGTCGTACCACACACATATGATGTTGGTTAAAACTTAAAAAGTATTACCGTTCTCTTTATTTAATTATTCTCAAATTCTAATAAATATAGCATATTATCCCGTATGGAATTTTATTTGTATTTTTTCCTTAAGTTCTCAAGTATATGTATATGCGTACTTAGTTTTTAAATATCTTAACTTTAAAGGGAATTTTATTACAACCTTTTTTTCGTTACCATTTTAAAATTACATTTCTTAATTCTAGCGGTTTATAAAATAATTATACGTTTAAGTTGCTAAACCAAAGTGCATCATCATAGCCATCCGAGGCACTGCTCCAATAATCAGGCGAATTTCAATCCCTGCAAATTTGAATTCAAAGCGAACTTGATCAAAATTCACTCGGAAGTGAATTACAGAACCTGCCTGAATATGTTGGATATGAATAGTATATATTTAAAAAAAAATTTATTTACAAAATTATCGCTCAGATTTTCCAATGAATTTGAAACGAAAAGTCAAAACGAAAGCGAAACAAAGAATCAGTGATACCACGCATATTTTTTCACAAAATTGTCTGCTCCATCTTTCGTTCTATTTTGCCCAGAAATGAAATTTAAATAGAGTAGGCATTACTGTAACGCTGGTATGCGGAAATTGACAAAATTACAACAACCACCCTCTAAGTGACAACACCTTATTATTATTTCACCATGATCTCGTGTAAAATTTCCAAATTGTCAAATATGGCCTTTTGTAGTGATAGTGACAATACATGTATGTATGTATATTGATGCGTAAATTTTGTTGTGCTCTTCGTTTCAGACATATAACTTCCAGGAGAAAATTGACCGCAACATGAAAGAAGTTTTGCCTGCTGCTACCGCCGGCTCTTTATTCGATTGGCATCACTTCTTCCATTTGAAAACTATTTATGCATGGTTAGAGTATATGGTATCTCAGTATCCTAAAGACTTATCTCTAATAGACATGGGCAATAGTACACAGGGAGTTCCCATTAAGGGACTAAAGCTATCACGAAACGATTCCAACAAGTCAATTTTTATAGAAAGTGGTATTCATGCGCGCGAATGGATTGCACCCGCTGCAGCTACCTTTCTCATTAACGAGCTGTTGACCGCTAAAGAAGAGGCAGTGCAGAAATTGGCAAACGAGTACAATTGGATTATATTTCCTTGTGTTAATCCAGATGGGTATAAATACACTTTTGAACATGACCGGATGTGGCGCAAGAATCGTAAATTATTTGGCACTTGCCGAGGCGTTGATTTGAATCGTAACTATCCTGACCACTGGAATACTACTGGCGCAAGTGGAGATCCATGTCGCTACGATTACTCTGGTCCAAGTGAAGGTAGTGAAATTGAAACTATGCGTTTAACAGAATTTCTTCGGGCAAATGTGGAAAAGGAGCAAATAAGGGCATATATAGCTTTACATTCCTACTCGCAAATGATCATGTTTCCTTACGGGTATACCAAAGAACGTGTAGCAAACTATGATGATTTACAACAGTTTGGCCGCGACGCAGTCGGGCGTATACGTGAATTAACTGGTCGTAATTACACAAGTGGCAGTTTGATTGAAACTATTTATCCCTCGAGTGGTGGCAGCATGGATTGGGCATACAGTAAAATGAAAGTACCAATAGCATACACTTTCGAGTTGCGTGGGCCCCCAGACAGTTCGGATATGTTCATACTACCATCTGACGAGATTATGCCCACGGCTCAAGAAGCGTTTGCTGCTATTAGGAGCATCATAGAAGGTGCCACTGAAAAGGGATACTTTAAGTAATCTCTAAAGGTGGGTTATAGCAGTAAAGTATAATCAAGGTGGTGTTGCTAAATCAGTCGCGGATCTATCCCTTGTCTGATGATACCCCCCCAAAAGGTTTCGTAATACGTTAAAAAATTTAATTACTGAAAATTTTAATAAAGATTAATATTCTGTTAACTTTTAAAATTGTCATCATTTCTACAGCCTGTATTGTAGGTGATCTTAAAGCTCGTAGTTTTCCATTGTATTTCAATCCATAAGCTTAGTATACAGCTCTTAAAAAAATGTTGAATGTTGTTGTCGTAGCGGCTACTAAACCCCGCCAGCTCACCAATCAACGATCTCGTCTGTTTCAGCTAAGGGGAGGCCCAGGAAGTGCGCGAATTCAATGGGATCTGTCCATAGGGACAGGCGCGTTAGCTGGGTTGAGTTCTGGGGCATGCGAAGAGGTGCCGCTAGTCATGTGGCGACCCTCCGCATGGCGGGCACATCCTCATTTATTCTGCTCAGGTACGAGTTTGGCCTGCCACAATAGCTTGAGCGAAGTTGGGCTTTAGTCCACGTCAGGTGGTTGTGTGCCCAGAATGGCATTCACAGATCGTGAGTCTATATAACCCGAGCCCGACTCCCTGTGAATGCCGTTCAGGGCCTGTCTGTATGCAGTTGGGTCCAGAGGTTGTTTGATAAACGTATATTGGCGAGGGCTCTTCTAGAAACTGTTGGCAGAGCATTGTGTTATGCTCCTTGATGGGGGCATCTGGGCCTCGTTGTGTAGGTGGTGTTGGGGCGACATCAGAAGGCATCCAGTCGCTGTCTGAAGTGCCGTGACCTGGCAGGTCTGTAGCTTCATCCACTGGGTCCTGATAGTCCCCGTCGGCCACATGGGCGCTGCGTAATTTAGAACCGGCCGGCCAATTGCCTTGTATGTTGCCAGCAACGTTTCTTTGTCTTTGTTCCAAGTGCTGCCGGCCAGCGACTTGAGGACCTTGTTGCGGCTCTGTACTCTGTTGACAATTGCGGTTGTATGTGCCGAGAAGGAGACCAGATTGTCGAAGGTGACTCCGAGAATTTTTAGGTTATTCACCGTCGGCATCGGTTCACCATCGACGTGAATACCCAGTTGCAGTCTGACGTCCTTCATCTAGGTGGTGATGAGGGTTGCCGAGGATTTTGTAGGGGAGAGGGTTAGGCTCCTTAGTGACTCACTCTAGTGGTTGAAAATATAGTAATTAAATAATAGTGGGGATAGGACACCACCCGGTGGAACCCCCTGTTAAATTTTTCTGGGTTTGCTGTTTTTATCTATGTATGAAGGATGCTGACGAATGTCGACCACTCAGATAATTCGCCGACCACCGTTTGAGTCCCTGTGGGAGAAAGGAAGCCTCTACGGTGGAGCGAATACAAAAGGTGGCGCCGCTGGCAATACCGCTAAACGGATCTCAGTGAATTTGACAGAATCCGCTGTTTTGCTGACGTCGCAGTCGAGATGACAGCAGTGGTGATGTGCTGGGTCAATACTTTTAAGTATCCAATACTCTCGATACTCGGTACCGAAACATTTAGATTTCGAATAAAATCGCACATAGGCCAAAATATGGAAAAAACGGTTCAGGGGAGACTCGCCTATCAAAACCAGAATGTAGGAGCTAATAGAGCTTTTAATACTGATTCAAATGAAAGATTCTTGGGAATCCTCAGTGCCTTTTAGTAGCGTGAACAGACTGACGGTGTCAAACACCTTTGGCAGATACATCGCAACTAGGACTGTTCTCTTACAGGGGCGGTTTCGGTTAAAGCCACGAGTTATCTGAGTGTTAATGGCATTAAGTGCTGTTGTTGTACTGTGCACTTTACGGAACCCATGCTGATACTTCGCTGGGGTCATTTTGTTTGTGTAGTGCGGGAGTAAAAAGGCCTCTAGTATCTTCGCTACCGGGGAAAGGAGGGTTATCGGGCGATAGGACTCTCCTTTGTTGGACGGTTTCCCCGGTTTAAGCAGTGGGATCACTCTCCCCATTTTTCAGATGTCTGGAATGATGAGATTGGCAATAGACAGATTGAGAACGTTGGTTAGATATTCCACTCCCACAGGACCCGAATTTTTCAGCATCAGCATACAAATTCCGTCTGGTCCTATGGCTTTGGAGGTTTTCGCCTTCCCGATGGTTACCCTTACCTCGCCGCTGGTGAAAAAAAGAGGCGCTCTTGATGTTGGCAGTTTGTGCAGCCTTCTGGTCACTCAACGTTAGGCCTTGTCCTCCGGAGGATGTAGTATGAACTATCGGCTAAAATAGCTCGCGCATCGCTCCGGGTCCGACGAAGCGTGGTCACCAAAAGATATTTCAACTCTGTCGTCACGCTTCGTCGGATTGGACAATAACCTCTTGGTTGACCACAGCGTACTCACACCAGAGGGGAATTTGCAGGTCTTCAAATGCTCTTCCCACTTTTTCCGCTTATGTACGTTCACTAGTTGCCGAATCTCCGCGTTGAGATCCCTGATACGGGGATTTCCGGGATCCGCCTGACGAAGGCTGTCACGCTCATCGGCAAGGACAGCCGCTTCAGCAGGAAAATTCGGTCGGGGATCCGAAACGCATCCTGCTGGGATGAAGCGGGCTGCAGAAGCAGTGACAACCCTGCGAAACTTAGCTCACCTACGTGAACGTCGATTGGTGTGGGTACGGCAGTGAAGGTGCTTTCAGTAACATCCGCGAAGCCTTTCCAATCAGCTTTGGAGAAGTTGACGTACACCTAGAAAAAGGTTTAGTTATAATTACCAAGATTTGGTTATAGTGGCCAAGTGACATAGTTTGATATGGCGAAATAAATATCTAGTTCACGAAAGTCTGCAATTTACTTGAGACTTCTACTTGGAACAAGTGTATATTTGTTAATAATTACAAAACGACTACCTTGATTGGATAATATTGTCAGTTGAATAAAATCATTGTTGAGCAAATAAACAATGCTTTGGTTGATACAAGTTTTCAATTAATATTTAATGGGCTTTGCGTGTAAGGGGTTACCCAACGCACAGCACTTAACATATAGAATTCCGATGGGGTTTGAAAGATTAACATTAAAATTAAGATTAAGATTAAGATTAAGTAAGATTAAGATTAAGATTAAGTTTAAGATTAAGATTAAGATTGAGATTAAGATTAAGATTAAGATTAAGATCAAGATTGAGATTAAGATTGATATTAAGATTAAGGTTAAAAGTAAGTTTAAGATTAAAATTAAGATTAAGTTTAAAATTAAGATAAAGATTAAAACTAATATTAAGATTAGATTAAGACTGAGATTAAGATTAAGATTAAGATTAAGACATGTATACAGAGAACAGATTTGCTACTCCCTTTTGGCAAGAGATTAGAATTAAAATTAAGGGCTTAAAAGCTGTGACAGACGGCAAAGCTTATGCATATAATCTGGCATACATATGCGCATAATAATTTTGACCTCACAGACGGCAGTTATGTGGATAAACGAGCCGCAAGGTCGTGGGTTCGAGTCCCACGGCCAATTGAATTTTCATTTATTTCGTTTTCATTCTTTTTTTTTATAAGTTCTATATTTTTTTTACGTTGCTTTCAGTTAGTTGTTGTTGACTTTTTATTAAAATTCAACTCTAAAAATGTAAATTAACTAATAGTAAAATAAAAAATGTGATATAAAATAAAGCAAATGAAAACACAATAAAGTAAAATTAAATATATAGATCAAATAATAAAAAAAAAACTTATAAAATAAATAATAAAAACAAAAAAAAATCGCAATCGCTCCAACCGAGGATCGAACCTGGCAGCTACAGTTAATTCCCAAAAATTCCCTGCATTTGTTCGGCTGCTTATGCGCATCTTAAAGAGGAAAATGCATGACGAGCCGCAAGGTCGTGGGTTCGAGTCCCACGGCCAATTGAATTTTTATTTATTTCGTTTTCATTCTTTTTTTTTATAAGTTCTATATTTTTTTTACGTTGCTTTCAGTTAGTTGTTGTTGACTTTTTATTAAAATTCAACTCTAAAAATTTAAATTAACTAATAGTAAAATAAAAAATGTGTAAATAAAATAAAGCAAATGAAAACCAATTAAAGTAAAATTAAATATATAGATCAAATAAAATAAAAAAAAAAATATAAAATAAATAATAAAAATAAAAAAAAATTCGCAATCGCTCCAACCGAGGATCGAACCTGGCAGTTAATTCCCAAAAATTCCCTGCATTTGTTCGGCTGCTTATGCGCATTTTAAAGAGGAAAATGCATGAGTCAAAGCAAATAAAGGCTGTTTATGCAAATAATCGAGCCCGTTTGTCAACCGTATAAGATTAAGATTCATGGTGATTTCGTTTCTACTAAAGAAGTGTTGCCTTTTGATAGCCCCTTTCGCGTTTAGTGTTCGATTCTAAATTAAAGGCATAAGGTGAAAGAATGTTGTCTTCGTTTCTTAAAATGTCACACTCTTGTAAGGCAGAAAGGGCACCTTTTCTGCCCTTTGAAGTTTTGTCACGGGAGATGGTTGTCCTGAAAATCAGATGGTTGCTTAAAACGATAATATGATGAAGTCCGTGAGGTGGACGAGGACAAGAAGGCAAAAACATTTTTTTCAAAGGGTTGAGTGTAACATCAAGCACATTTTGCACCGTGCAAGGGTAACATTTTTTGGTAGAAACGAAATCACCATAAGATTAAGAGATTAGGATTAAAATTAAGATTAAGAGATTAAGATTTAAATTAAGATTAAGATTCTGATTAAGATTAAGACATGTATACAGAGAGTAGATTTGCTACTCCCTTTTGGCAGCCGCAAACATCTCTCGTACGCGATGAGAGAAAGTATAGTACCTACTTTGGTGGAGTAACAGCAAGTCGTTATGTATCACGATCCTGAAAATAAAGGTCGCGCCATTCGCGGACCTCTAACCCTCTCTTCGTCGATTTGACAGCATCTACCCAATCGCTGACGTCATAAAACACTTTTGTTTACATTCACTGTTGCCAACTTGATGCTTTTCGCACCAAATTTAGTGGGTATTCAAAACGCGAATATTTTTGAGTTTTGTGCTTGGTGCGTTTTTGGTGCTTTTGTTTTTAGTGTGAAGACTTCAAATTAGAAAATCTTAAAAAAATGGAAGCAAAATTTATAGCAATCGTAAGTGTGCTAATCCAT